CCTAAAAGGGCCCCCTATACAAAAAAAAAAAAAAAAATGTATAAAATACCCCCCCCCCCCCCCCACATACACAAAGAAAATACACTCTCTGCACATAAAATAAAGCACAGAGCCCCCACTTCTGCTTACCTATGTGCAGGGAGGAGGCTGTGAGGAGGCACGATCGATCCCTGGTGCTCTAGGGGTGATTGGTGAGGTCTGCTGCAGACCTCACTAATCCATCCTTTCTTTTGGCCAGAGCTCAGAACTGAGCTCCAGCTGAAAGGATCTGAGTGGCAGCGGTGACAGGAGCAGCCCTGCGGTCTGTATCCGACAGAGATGCAGACCGCGTAGCTGCTCCTGCAAGTCAGGTACACGATCCGTGACAGCGTACATGACTTGTGAGCTGCCTGCGGGCAACATAGTAACGGCTCGCAATTGGCCCGCGGGCCGGTACTTTGAGACCACTGACAGACAATAAAGTGAATTTTTTACAATGTGGTTTAACACAACACACATGAATGCGACTCATTTAAAAAGGGGAAAAAAATAAAAAACACAAGTAAAACATGTTCTGCAATGAATACAAAAATGCATTTCAACACACACGCATCTTCATTATGGAGAGCCAGCCAGGGGAAAGAGCGAGGAGAGAGAGCCAGGGGAAAGAGCGAGGAGAGCCAGCCAGGGGAAAGAGCGAGGAGAGCCAGCCAGGGGAAAGAGCGAGGAGAGCCAGCCAGGGGAAAGAGCGAGGAGAGCCAGCCAGGGGAAAGAGCGAGGAGAGCCAGCCAGGGGAAAGAGCGAGGAGAGCCAGCCAGGGGAAAGAGCGAGGAGAGCCAGCCAGGGGAAAGAGCGAGGAGAGCCAGCCAGGGGAAAGAGCGAGGAGAGCCAGCCAGGGGAAAGAGCGAGGAGAGCCAGCCAGGGGAAAGAGCGAGGAGAGCCAGCCAGGGGAAAGAGCGAGGAGAGCCAGCCAGGGGAAAGAGCGAGGAGAGCCAGCCAGGGGAAAGAGCGAGGAGAGCCAGCCAGGGGAAAGAGCGAGGAGAGCCAGCCAGGGGAAAGAGCGAGGAGAGCCAGCCAGGGGAAAGAGCGAGGAGAGCCAGCCAGGGGAAAGAGCGAGGAGAGCCAGCCAGGGGAAAGAGCGAGGAGAGCCAGCCAGGGGAAAGAGCGAGGAGAGCCAGCCAGGGGAAAGAGCGAGGAGAGCCAGCCAGGGGAAAGAGCGAGGAGAGCCAGCCAGGGGAAAGAGCGAGGAGAGCCAGCCAGGGGAAAGAGCGAGGAGAGCCAGCCAGGGGAAAGAGCGAGGAGAGCCAGCCAGGGGAAAGAGCGAGGAGAGCCAGCCAGGGGAAAGAGCGAGGAGAGCCAGCCAGGGGAAAGAGCGAGGAGAGCCAGCCAGGGGAAAGAGCGAGGAGAGCCAGCCAGGGGAAAGAGCGAGGAGAGCCAGCCAGGGGAAAGAGCGAGGAGAGCCAGCCAGGGGAAAGAGCGAGGAGAGCCAGCCAGGGGAAAGAGCGAGGAGAGCCAGCCAGGGGAAAGAGCGAGGAGAGCCAGCCAGGGGAAAGAGCGAGGAGAGCCAGCCAGGGGAAAGAGCGAGGAGAGCCAGCCAGGGGAAAGAGCGAGGAGAGCCAGCCAGGGGAAAGAGCGAGGAGAGCCAGCCAGGGGAAAGAGCGAGGAGAGCCAGCCAGGGGAAAGAGCGAGGAGAGCCAGCCAGGGGAAAGAGCGAGGAGAGCCAGCCAGGGGAAAGAGCGAGGAGAGCCAGCCAGGGGAAAGAGCGAGGAGAGCCAGCCAGGGGAAAGAGCGAGGAGAGCCAGCCAGGGGAAAGAGCGAGGAGAGCCAGCCAGGGGAAAGAGCGAGGAGAGCCAGCCAGGGGAAAGAGCGAGGAGAGCCAGCCAGGGGAAAGAGCGAGGAGAGCCAGCCAGGGGAAAGAGCGAGGAGAGCCAGCCAGGGGAAAGAGCGAGGAGAGCCAGCCAGGGGAAAGAGCGAGGAGAGCCAGCCAGGGGAAAGAGCGAGGAGAGCCAGCCAGGGGAAAGAGCGAGGAGAGCCAGCCAGGGGAAAGAGCGAGGAGAGCCAGCCAGGGGAAAGAGCGAGGAGAGCCAGCCAGGGGAAAGAGCGAGGAGAGCCAGCCAGGGGAAAGAGCGAGGAGAGCCAGCCAGGGGAAAGAGCGAGGAGAGCCAGCCAGGGGAAAGAGCGAGGAGAGCCAGCCAGGGGAAAGAGCGAGGAGAGCCAGCCAGGGGAAAGAGCGAGGAGAGCCAGCCAGGGGAAAGAGCGAGGAGAGCCAGCCAGGGGAAAGAGCGAGGAGAGCCAGCCAGGGGAAAGAGCGAGGAGAGCCAGCCAGGGGAAAGAGCGAGGAGAGCCAGCCAGGGGAAAGAGCGAGGAGAGCCAGCCAGGGGAAAGAGCGAGGAGAGCCAGCCAGGGGAAAGAGCGAGGAGAGCCAGCCAGGGGAAAGAGCGAGGAGAGCCAGCCAGGGGAAAGAGCGAGGAGAGCCAGCCAGGGGAAAGAGCGAGGAGAGACAGCCAGGGGAAAGAGCAAGGAGGGAGAGCCAGGGGAAAAGAGCGAGGAGAAAGAGCCAGGGGAAAGAGCGAGGAGAAAGAGCCAGGGGAAAGAGCGAGGAGAGACAAGCAGGAGAGAGAGCCTGGAGAGAGAATATGAAGAGACAGCCAGGAGAGAGTGACATCTTGGGTCCCTGATTCGGGGCCATACACTGCAGAACTTGGTAAATGGGCGAAAGCATAAAGTGTCTGAAAAAGTCAAAAATTGTTAGTGGAGATCAATGATTTTTTGGCATGAGGGACATTAAGGGCGATATGAAAACAAAAAAATACTCACACTGGTTCCTCCTGTATAGATCTCAGTGGCCCCAGCAGTCACCAGTATAGATCTCAGTGGCCCCAGCAGTCGCCAGTATAGATCTCAGTGGCCCCAGCAGTCGCCAGTATAGATCTCAGTGGCCCCAGCAGTCGCCAATATAGATCTCAGTGGCCCCAGCAGTCGCCAGTATAGATCTCAGTGGCCCCAGCAGTCACCAATATAGATCTCAGTGGCCCCAGCAGTTACCAGTATAAATCTTAGCGCCCGCCAGCAGTCACCAGTATAGATATCAGTGTCCCCAGCAAACATCAGTATAGCTTACAATGTCACCAATATAGCTCACAGTGCCCCAGCAGTCGCCAATATAGCTCACAGTGCCCCAGGAAGTCACCAGCGCAGAGCCCAGGCAGCCTCGCACTGTGTCCAGCACTGATCCGCCTCTTGTACAATCACAGTGAAATTGTAGTCAGCAGTGCAGCACTGATAGAGGAAGCCCTGACACTCACCTGGGAGTAGAGCTCATAAATAAAATGAGGGGAAATCACTTTAATGAAGCCCCTGGATAGTAAAAAAAACATCTATAGGGGTTCTGATCCTTCTCTACTCTTATCAAAACTAAGAACAAATGTTTTGGGTGCTGGTTCAGGCTTAAGAATAGCCGGATTCATAAACTTTATGTACAAATATCAGTGTTTAAAAACTAAAGGTGGCCATACACTTTACAACCATTGCAAGACCTAGTCAAATATCAGCTGTAAGACCAGCACAGCCCCTCCCTGCACACAGAACTATTAAATGACCTTTAGCTTCTCCATGTCCAAGGCTTTCAGTTGAATTTCTCTCCTTTGCTGTCAGCGATGGCGTCTGCTTATCTGAGAAAGGAGCTGGACTGTTCCATCTGTCTGAGCACTTATACAGATCCTGTAAACCTGACATGCGGACACAACTTCTGCCGGGTCTGTATTGATCGTGTGCTGGATACACAGGAGGGATCTGGAGATTATTCATGTCCTCAGTGCAGAAAAAGGTTTAGGAGTCGTCCTACACTGCAGAGGAACATAACACTGCGTAACATAGTGGAGAATTTCTGCTGTGTTCATCCAGATCTGGCGGAGGCGACTGGGATCTTCTGTACTTACTGTATTCACTCTCCTGTACCTGCTGTTAAATCCTGTCTGATGTGTGAAGCTTCTCTGTGTGATATTCACTTGAGAGTCCACAGTAAGGCACCAGAACATTTCCTAACTGAACCCACCACTTCCATGGAGAAGAGAAAATGTTCTGTCCATAGAGAACTTCTTAAATATTACTGCATTGCAGATGCTGCCTGTATCTGTGTGACCTGCAGTTTGGCTGGAGAACACCAGGGACACAAGGTGGAGACTCTGGATGAGGCGTCTGAGAAGAAGAAAAAGAAACTGAGAACTGGTCTTCAGAAACTGATCACAGAGAGAGAGGAGACTGAGAGAAGAGTCCGGAGTCTGCAGGAACGCAGGAGAAAAGTACAAGAAAAATCATCTGGTGTAACAGAGAGAGTCACTGCCCTGTTCAGAGACCTCAGGAGACATCTGGAAGACCTGGAGAAGAGAGTCCTGAGGGAGATCTCCAGGCAGGAAGAGCGGCTCTCACATCAATTGTCTGACCTGATCCAGAAGCTGGAAATAAAGATTGCTGAGCTGTCCAGGAAGATGTATCACATTGAGGAGATGTGTAACATGACTGACCCACTGACTGTCTTACAGGAATCAGACACAGGGGACTTGTGTGATACTGAGGAGGGAGATGATGAGGACAGAGAGAGACATGATGAACTCCTCCATGATGGGAGGGATCTGGATGTGGCTGGGATCTCCCACACATTACACTCGGGGTTATCTGATATGATGATAAGGGTCCATGTCTACCTTGATATATATAAAGCTTCAGGTATAGTACTGGATGTAAACACAGCTCATAATAGGCTACAGATATCAGAAGATATGAAAACTGTATCCAGGTCAGATGTAAGGGAAGATCGTCCAGAAACACCAGAGAGATTTCAGAATTATATTCAGGTATTAAGCAGCGGGAGATTTTCCTCGGGGCGACATTACTGGGAAGTGGATGTCAGTAAATCGCTGTCATGCAGAGTCGGGATGTGTTATCCCAGTATAGTCAGGAGAGGAGAACAGTCATGGATTGGAAAAAACAAAAAGTCCTGGGGTTTATACAGGGCTGGGTATAAGTTGTCAGTGGAATATAACAGCAAACTCATACGTTTAACTGACAATTTCTCCAGTAACAGAGTCAGGATCTATCTGGATTATGAGGCCGGACAGCTGTCCTTCTATGATCTGTGTGACCCGATCCGACACTTACACACCTTCACCACCACCTTCACTGAGCCCCTTCATGCTGTATTAGGGGTGGGGAAAGGTTGTGTAACTATATCTGGGTAGACTATGGAGATGTTTAAGAGAATTTAGAAACTAGTCTAGATATTTGAACCTGGTTCATTTTGATTATCCAATGAGCTAATTCATACAGTAAATGCAGCAACCATATTTCCTAAATGTCTGTTTCTTGACACCCAATAATCTTCCAGTGCCAATCATAAAAGTGTATGTCATATATGTGTATGCTTTTCTTGGGTTATTTCAGGGGTCTATGTATAAACAACACTCAGGGCCATTAACCCTGCAAATCTCTGTGTAAGTCAGTTCTGCGCACAAAGCAAGCGTTCTTGTATATTCTCTTTATAATTCAAATGTGTTTTTTAATATCATCTTGTAATACCACATTATGGCCACTAGATGGAGATGATGAGCAAAGGAGATGAGTACTTCTATTCTATGCTCCTTGGTTCCATCGAGTGGCGATAAATGCATTACTACAAGACTCACTGAGTTCATTCTGTTGCGCTGTGTTGTTTGCCTTATGCATAGGGGTGCTACAGTGCCATTTATTCTTAGTGTTGCTGCAGTGCATATGCTTTCCAAAAATAGTGCATGCACTTTTTTTTTGGTGCGTTAGGGAGTTAATACAAGCAAATTAGCTGCCTTAGCGCAACGCACATTAAGGTGCAGCATAATGCACTGCGTAAACCTACCAGAGATTCTTAAAAAGTTTGTCTTATCTTTGTATTTTCAGAAATTGTAAAACGTTATTCTGTACTTTAATTTTTGTTACATAGAAGCCCCCCTTCCCCCCCTCCCCCTTGGGCTATGTGTTTTTAAGGAGCTATAACATCTCTGGTGTATCAGGTCCTGCTCATTGATATTTGTGTCTCGGTGATGGTTCCTATCTATAAATCCACCAATAAAAATATAAAAAGAATATAGACACCGGCGCTCCAAAGGTAGAAGTACGTTTATTGACGCACATGCAAGACATGCTCATTGCGACGTTTCGGGGTCGCGCAGGATCCCCTTCATCAGGCAGATGAAGGGGATCCTGCCTGATACGTGAATAAATAGACGTGCTTCTACCTTTGGAGCGCCGGTGTCCATACTGTTTTGTATTACTGGACGCTAGCCATCCGTCGACTGCTGATGCAACCAACCATTCTTATTATGGATAAGCGGTCAGGAGTGCAATGGGTATATGGATTGCATTGTGACTAGCTGTCGCATTCGTTTTCTATTAACTTTTTTGGGGGATTCGGGTATGAAAAAAAAAAACAGTAAATTTTTTACTATTCCTTTATTTAAAAAATTTCTCCATCGATGTAATCCAGGGTCAAACACCACACCGCACGATGCCTGCCGACTCGCCGAAATAAAAGAAGTCCCGCCGCACGACGACCCATTCGAACCAGACGAAGACTCGCCGCAAAATGACATCTCTGGCCAGAATGTAAACAGATTGGCAGAGTGGGCTGTGACGTCATGGGGCTCATTCCGCCCATTTGACATTTTCAGCTGTCATTGAACACGATAGCATTTGGGAGCTCCTGAATGTTAATGTCAAATGGGCGGAGAATGTCACACATCAGCTCTAACTATGAGGATGAGTGGAAATCACTCACCCCATAGTTCTCCTTTAAGTAACAAGTGAGAAGCGTTCTAGAAGTGGCTCACAGTACCCCACACCATACTAGAGCAAAGTAACCCACACTGTACCCAATAACCTACACTGCACCAGACCACCGCATCTGACAACAGCACCCCACACCACATCTGGTCACAGCACACAACACTGTACCCAGCACTCTATACTGCACCCAAACCACAATACACCACGCCAGACCACAATACCTCATACTATCCCAAACCAAAGTAACCCACACCGTGTCTGGCAACCCACACCAAATCTGTCCACAGCACCCCACACCACACCTGGCCACAGTTCTCCAAATGCTACCCAACACCCAGCAGCCGACACTGCACCCAACCAAGTAACCCACAACATACCTGGTCAGAGCACCCCACACTATGTATAGGGGGCATACAGACAACATCATCACCAAAACTCCCATTGTACTTGTCCTTCTCCCCACCTTGACACCCCACTATGGCCCAATTACAACTGTCCTCCTTTCCACCCTGACACCCTCCATCACACCTGTCCTCCTCTCCACCCACACACCCCCATCACACCTGTCCTCCTCTCCACCCACACACCCCCATCCCACCTCTCCCCCCCTGTCCTCCTCTCCACCCACACACCCCCATCACACCTATCCTCCTCTCCACACGCAAACCCCCTTCACACTTGTCCTCCTCTCAACCCACACACCCCCATCACACCTGTCCTCCTCTCCACACTCAAACCCCCATCACACCTGAACACACCCCCCATCACACCTGTCCTCCTCTCCACACTCAAACCCCCATCACACCTGTCCTCCTCTCCACCCACACACCCCCCATCACACCTGTCCTCCTCTCCACACTCAAACCCCCATCACACCTGCCCTCCTCTCTATCCTCCGTCACACCTGTCCTCTCAACCCTGACACACTCCTACGGCCTTATCATATGTGTCCTCCTCTCCACCCTAACACCCCATTATCCCCCCTTCAAGTAACTCAGTATCTCTCTTCTCTCTCCGGCACTGTGAACCTTCTGCTCTCCAGCTATCTCCAGATTATCTACCCAGCCCTCTTCCTCTGATATGGGGATTACACACCTGGCCTATCTGCTCTTTTGTGAGACCCTGGGGCCAATCCAGGCCCATCCCCTGACCACTACCAAGGTGATGAAAAGCCGCAACAACCGGTCTAATGGGGGAAATTGGAAATCGAGGTAGCAGGCCGGCAGGAACATCAGGCTCAAAAAACCAAGAAGAGGGGAATTGTAAGCTGCTTCACATCTCAGCCAAGGAGGAAGCCCAAAATCAGCAAACAGAACATCAGAAAAGAACAAAACATACAGGTCAATGGTTATAAAACCTGAAGTATAAAAGTCGCTATAATGTGACACAAATTAAAACTGGACACAAGTGCACAGCAGTAGGAAAAACCTGAGACTCATTGTAAGTTTCTGGATGTTTAATGCTTTTTAGTCTGCTCCTTTAATGAGTTAAATGTTCCTGCTTCATCTGCTGATCTGAGACAGGAGCTGCACTGTTCCATCTGTCTGAGCACTGATACAGATCCTGTAATGCTAAGATGTGGACACAACTTCTGCCGGGTCTGTATTGATCGTGTGTTGGATACACAGGAGGGGTCTGGAGATTATTCCTGTCCTGAGTGCAGAGAAGAGTTTCAGGATCGGCCTATACTGCACAGGAACATAAGGAACATGGATCGGCCTATACTGCACAGGAACATAACACTGCGTAACATAGTCGAGATGTCCTGGTCTGTTCAGCCAGATCTGGATAAGACTGGGATCTCCTGTTCTTACAGTATTAGCTCTCCTGTACCTGCTGTTAAATCCTGTCTGCATTGTGAAGCTTCTCTGTGTGATGATCACCAGAGAGTCCACAGCAAGTCACCAGAACACGTCTTAACTGAACCCACCACTTCCATGGAGAAGAGAAAATGCTCCGTCCATAGAGAACTTAAATTTTACTGATTTGCAGATGCTGCCTGTATCTGTGTGTCCTGCAGTTTGGCTGGAGAACACCGGGGACACAAGGTGGAGACTTTGGATGACGCGTCTGAGAGGAGGAAACAAACTCAGCAATGTTCTGCAGGAACTAATCACAGAGAGAGAGGAGACTGAGAGAAGAGTCCGGAGTCTGCAGGAACGCAGGAGAAAAGTACAAGAAAAATCAGCCGGTGTAACAGAGAGAGTCACTGCCCTGTTCAGAGACCTCAGGAGACATCTGGAAGACCTGGAGAAGAGAGTCCTGAGGGAGATCTCCAGGCAGGAAGAGCAGCTCTCACATCAATTGTCTGACCTGATCCAGGAGCTGGAAATAAAGAAGGCCGAGCTGTCCAGGAAGATGCGTCACATTGCGGAGATGTGTAAAGGTGCCCATACACTGCACAATTCACGTACGAGAATCGCGGGAAATCCCGCGACCGTACGATAATCGTGCAGTGTATGGAAGGCGTGCAACCGTTTCTAATGTACGGTCGCACGACTTTTGTATTTCGAGCATGTTGGAAAACCAGCCGAGAATCGTGCGATTTTCAGCTGGTTCTTAACATGATCGAGATGACTGCCGAACGGGCCGGCGTGCGCATGCGCACACTGCCCGTTCAGCATTGCAGTCATTGGAAGCCCGGAGACTATAGAGAAGTATGATAACATGATAGAAATCCTAGATATTTGAACCTGGTTTATTTTGTTGATCCAATGAGCTGATTGATACAGTAAGTGCAGCCACCATATTTCCTAAATCTCAGTTTCTTGACACCAAAATCTTTCCACTGTAAAATCTCAGCGCAATAGTACTTCAAACTACTTCCAGTGCCAGCATTTTCATGGGTTCATTCAGAAGTCTATTGATAAACCATTTGCAGAGCCATTTGCCCTGCTAGTCTCTATGAAGGTTAGTTCTGTGCGAATCTATAAACAAAACTAAAGTTCCGGCATATTTTCTTTAGAAGTCAAATGTATTTTTGAATGTCATCTTGTAATACCACATTATGGCCATTAGATGGCACTAAGGAACATAGAAACTTAATACTTTTATTCTATGCTCCTCGGCTCCATCTAGTGGCCATAATGCAGCATTACAAGATTGATGACTGTGTTGAGAGTTTCGCTTTGTTCATGTGCTTTATGCATACATTTGCTGTGGTGCATTTACTCTTAGGCCTCATTCACACGAGAAAAGGCCGGCATGCGCAGCCGGCACTATTTTTGCAAAGCAGAAGAAGCATAAGGCCTCATTCACCCGAGAATAAGCCGGCACGTACAGCTCTGTGCTGCGTGCACGGCCGTATCGCTCAGCTCCCGGGAAGGACAGGTGCTGCGTGTGATTAGTACGCAGCCCCTGTCCTTCTCTATGGGAGTACGCAGCCGTACACAGCCCTACACTCACCCCAAGTGCAGGTCCATATCGGTGCAGGTGTCCCGGCTCGGACGCAGAAAGGATCCATCCTGTCAGCGTATGAGTACGGACACCCACACCCGTATGTACGGCCGCCTACTCCCATAGAGGACAGGGGTTGCGTACTAATCAAACGCAGCACCTGTCCTTCCCGGGAGCTGCGCGATACGGCCGTGCACGCAGCACAGAGCTGTACGTGCCGGCCTTTTCTCGTGTGAATGAGGCCTTATGCTTCTTCTGCTTTGCAAAAATAGTGCATGCACATTTTGATTTGGTGTGTTAGGGACACCATACATACAATTGGCTGCCTTGCTTGTTAACGTGCCACAAAACACTTGCTGCATCATCTACCCTAAATGTTTCAACTTATAGAGATTACTTTTATCTTTGTATTTGCAGAAATTGGTATGTTTAGGTAGAAGCCCCCTCTCTTGTGTATCGGGTCTTGTTCATTGATATTTTGTATCTCGCGCTGTGATGGGTCGTGTGTGTGACTTCCAACAGCTCAGATGGAGAGAGGACAATGTAACATTCGTCTTGTCCTACAGTATCTGATATCAGAGAACAGACTGCACTCACCTTTATGGCAAATGGGAGCACCGTGCCGTATATCTCCGGATCTGTGTCGATCTGGGAATGAACGGGAGCCGACCATCTTCTCCATAAATGTATGTCTGTTAGAGGCGGGGGGGGCCAGGGGGCTGCTATGTATGAAGCAAGCCGATAGGTGCATGTGTACAGGGAGGAGCTTACAACTGTCAGTAAGAAGAAGCAGGAAGTCACCTGTCAGTAAAATATATGATGAGGATAAACATGACATCATACAGGATGACACATCACAGGAGCCATGACGGTCCCTCTGAGAAGGTTTATTATGGGATTCAGTTTCTTCTCTTTTCAGTGTATTTTACATCCCATAGCATATAAAGAATAAGGATGGGCTGCCTGTTCGAGTCGACCATAGGTTCGACTCGAACATTGCATGTTCTAGCGTACGCCGAACGACTAACATTATGGGATGTCCGCGGTCTGTTCGACCCCGGCACATCCCACAATGCACTGCGCCGTCCGAAAACGGTAATTGGCTACAGTCCTGCACCTGACCACAGGTCAGGTGCAAGACTGTGTCAATCAGGGCTCAGTACAAATGTAGAGCATTAAAGAATATGTCATAAATCTCGGTGACGGTCCAAATATCTGTATAAATGTATCAATAAAAGTATCAGAAGAGATTGTTGTCATGTGATGTTTGATACTCTGTGACAGACAGTGAACCACTGAAATTACGCCCGGATCACCTTGTTATACTCGATGGCAATCCGGGCCGACCGCTGGCGGCTCTCTCATCAGGAACGTTTAGAGAGCAATTTCAGAGGGGACACAGATCGCTGTAGCCGATTGCAGCCTGTGAGGAGAGACTGCTGTCAGTCTGAGTCTGCAGCGGGGAGGAGTTATTGTGGCGGGAGAAGAAATGGAGGTACAGTTCTTCGGTGCTGCCCCCACTCCCCCCCCCAAAAAAATGCCGCAATAGACCTAAAATCCAGCGGCCAGCAGCAATAGTGAGCCTGCTATTGGCTATTTTAAATTGCAGTAGCCAATAGCAGGCTGGCTACTGCACCTGCCCACTGCCAATCAGCAGAGGAAGGAACTGAGAAAGTTCTCCTTCAGGTCCCTCCTTTGCTGATTGACAGCAGGCAGTGGGCGGGTGCAATAGTCAGCCTGCTATTGGCTACTGCAATTTAAAATATCCAATAGCAGGTTTGCATTTGCTCCCAGCCACTGTCTGCTGTGTTTACTTTCAGCTGCCTCAGCCGTCATTCCCCAGCTAAAGCCTATTAAAGTGGAAAGGTGACACTAGGGGTCTAATAGACCCCTAATGTCACCTTAAAGAGAACCTGTCATCTCCAATGAGTTTTAAAAATAAATAAAAAATATCTATAAATGAAAATTAAAGTCCCCCACAAAATGCCCTCACGAAAAAAACCTGGCTCCTAACTTTTTTAGCTGGCTCCAGGATTATAAGAAAATTTGTCAGACCCTGTGTTAGACCCTGCACTTCAGGCACACAGCCATCAAGCTGGGAAAAGAAAACAGAGGGGGCGCCTTTCCTGGTGCAGATCAACTTTATTTTCAATGATCATAAATAAACCGAAAGATACTCACAAACATAGATAAAAACAGCCATATATTGTAAGCTCACAACAGATGGACATCCACTGAAGGGATCCCGTGTGCAGGTGACGTTGACGCGTTTCCGGGGCACGCCCCCTTCGTCAGAACATAGCGTCACCTTCCTCATCTCCAATTTAAGGGTGCATCTGGCCAATCCCGGATGAGCACGGGAGGCTCGTCAGCGTGTAGGTGGTGACGCTGCCGTGGCTGGTGTCTGTCATCGGGACCATGTGGGGGCGGGATATATCAACCAGCCTATGGGAAACGGAGCCAGTCCGGCTCCACCTGCTGGATGTCACCGCCACACAACCAATCGCGGTTGCTGGAAGCCGGAACCACTCGTCGGTCCGATAAGTGCCGGTGGAGTGTCAGTATAGACCGGATCGTGGGTATACTCAGTACTATGGGGACATAGGCACCTGGAGAGTGGAGAGAAGGAAGGTGGACCCTGAGGTGGACAACCAACATATAGATGGGGAGACTAACCCCCTATGTGTGCACACACCCATATAAGTGCATAATGTGTATACATATGCGTGCATACTATATATATATATATTAGGGCTGCAACAACTAATCGACATAATCGATTATTGAAAAAGTTGTCAACTTTTTCAATTTAATAAATAAGAGCAAGTTGAATGAATGTCTGTGTAAATAGTATATGAAAATGTATATAAAAAAGTGTATATAAAACAAGGACTAAAAAGGGAATATGTGAAAGCTAGACTTGGTATGAGACAATTAAAGGGAGGACACCAACTCTAAGCCCTCATTGAGACCGCTGGGGTATAGGCTGTTCAGGGAATATATCCAAAAGGTCTCTCTCTGACATCATCTTTTAAATCTTGTGCCTTCATCTAGATTGTCTGGTATCATCTCTATACCGAATACTTTGAGTCCCTCAGGATTGGAACTATGGGCCTCTAGGAAATGTCTGGGCACTGAATGGTCATCGGCTTTTTTGAGGATCTTACGCTTGTGTTCTCATCAAGCGTCCAGGCTAAATGGTGGGTCTAGAAACGTTGGCCATACATGTGTGTTCCCCCTCCATGTGTCTTTTTAGCTTTTTTTTTTCTTATTGTCCCACAAAGTTTAGCCATCCAGGTTCAGCCTCTCCTGGGTGAAGCCTCGTGACTTGACCTCTAAATGGTAACCAAAATAGTTGCGCTAGGATATATGGCAAAAATAAAAATTAATTAAATTAAGACTAAAAAACTAAACATACAAGGAAAATAACAATAAAGAATATAAATATAAAAATAAAATATAGCCAAGAGATCCAGCTGCAGCAATATCTATCAAAGTGATCAATTATAAACCGGTGTGCTGCGCTTGGTTTTGTGATGCGTGCTATGTTTAATCCTTAAATTATGTGATGCTTGTGATACCACAAACTGAAAACAGTACAAGTGGACGACTCCTACTTGCAACTATATGCAATCCAAAAGTGCGTATGTGCATATATATTAATAATAAATATACGTGTCATATAAATACAAATATAAATACTAGATAGATGTGAACCAAATATGTAAATAAATTAGTCATATATGTGCCATAAAGTGAAAGTACAGTTGTGAATAAAATTAATTGTAAAGATGGGTCACTCTGACACTCACAATATTGGGCTAGAAAACAGTAATTTAAAAAATCTAGCAAGTATGACTAATTTATTTACATATTTGGTTCACATCTATCTAGTATTAATATTTGTATTTATATGACACGTATATTTATTATTAATATATATGCACATACGCACTTTTGGATTGCATATAGTTGCAAGTAGGAGTCGTCCACTTGTACTGTTTTCAGTTTGTGGTATCACAAGCATCACATAATTTAAGGATTAAACATAGCACGCATCACAAAATCAAGCGCAGCACACCGGTTTATAATTGACCTCTAAATGAGTTCTCCATAGAGGGCCCCCTGGTCTCAGGGGATAGCACACTAAAGTAAGAAGGTTCTAAAGCAGGGGTAGCAAACCTCCGGCCCTCTGGCTGTGGTGGAACTACAAATCCCATGAGGCATTGCAAGATTCTCACAGCCATGACTACCGAAGAGAGATGCATCATGGGATTTGTAGTTTCACCACAGCCTGGAGAGCCGGAGGTTTGCTACCCCTGCTCTAAAGGGGCCAAAGTTGCGGCTCCTGTCTAGGTAACTCTCTTGCTGTGGAGCGCGGGGTGTGTGTTCCAATCCTCATTTAATCCTTATTCTTCCTGTCTGTCAAAATAGTGCCTCCGGGCGCTTGGTATATGGAGCATGTGCCGGAGTACGTGCAGTGCATTTGCCATTCAGCCCTTCCAGCCATAAGGATGTTTCGGGGCTATGGTTACAAAGAATGGCGTCAGCGGTGAGTGAGCCCAAATTTATAGTCACCTAGTCCTAAAGGGTTGTGCGTGCAGCACTGCAACCCACAGCATGCACCCAACACCTACGGAGACATCTCCTATTGCATAGATACCACTACAACCACCATCGGTAAAATATTTTATTCTGAAAATATCTAATAGGGATGCACCGATATAGAGTATTTGGGCGGGTACTTGCCCAAATGCTCCGATACAGGAACTTCCGGTCAGAGGAAGATTTCCTCTGACCGGCAGAGCTGTAGGGGAACATGGAGCCAGCTTCCCGTGCGATCAGGAAGCTGGGCAGCAAGTAATGACTCGTCTCCCTGATTGGCCGAACAGCCGGCTTCCCAGTCAATCAGGAAGCTGGGTGGCGGGTCATTACTCCCAGCCAAGCACAATCAAGCCGGCCAGACAACATGGTGCCGGCTCCCGCCGGGCAATCAGATTGCCCAGGAAGCCAGCTCCATGCCAGCGGAAGCAATGGTATTGGTGCATGCTTAATATCTAATCTTGCAAACCACAGCCAGGCCGCAAATATATCACATCTATGGTCATTCCCCTTTAAGGCCACAACCCACAGAGACAAGCCAAACTCACTAGCCAGTATTTCGCTTTTTTTTTTTTTATTTGGTGGAAAACTCTAAACATACCCCTAGAACCCCTGTACTCAAACATCTAGAGCCTCCATCCCTCTGTCCTCCATACCTCAAACTCTGGTCCCTCTGTCCTCTGCACCCTAAGCCCCCATCCCTCTGTACTAGGGCTGTAGATAACGATTATTTTTTAATATCGATTGTTAGCCGATTATTAACTTTGATTAATCGGATAAAACATTTTAAAATAAAATAAAAAATACACAAATGCGTTACAGACAAAGTTTTCTTCACAATAGCAAAGTATGCACATTTTTTTGAACGCAGGGCATTGCAGTACCATGCGTTCCAGTGCAGGCGATCACACTGTGGACAGGGGAGGCGTATTTGGGATTGATTGAAATGAATGGCACCCCAACGCACCTCCTGCAGCAAAATTTGTCAGGCCGAAACTGAAAATGACTTTTCCCACATATATATTATACATATTTATTTATTTATTTGTAATAATTATGTGTATTATATTAGACATTTTAATTAATTAGTCTCATGGATTTAAAAGAATGTGAATTGTAAAACTCTAACCCAATAAAACAACCAACCTTTTATTTAAAATAACACACCAAACATTTTTTTTCTATTTTTAATTTATTTAACTTTTTTTTTACTTTAATGCTGGGAGCAATAGCCAGCCTGCTATTGGATATTTCAAATTGCAAAAGCCAATAGCAGGCTGGCTTTTGCACCTGCCCGCTGTCAATCAGCAGATGAGGGACCTGAAGGAGAAAGTTCTCCATCTGGTCCTCCTCTGCTGATTGACAGCAGGCAGTGGGCGTGTGCAATAGCCAGCCGGCTATTGCATTATGAAATATCCAATAGCAGGCTGGGTATGGTTCCCAGCCTCTAGATGCAGCAGAGGCACGGGGGCCGGGTGAGCAGAGGAACGGGCCGGGGCAGAGAAGGACCTGGGTAGCAGCCAAAGTAAGAGGGGGCAGCAGCAAAGGTACGGGGATGGGGGGGGCTGTGAGGGAAGGCAGTAAGAGCGGTCTCTCCTCCCCACTGGTGCCGGCTGCAGCGGTCTGTGACCCCGCTGCCTCTGCGGAAACAGGCGGGGAGAGCAGTGGGGATTAATCACTTGCTGCCCGGAGCAATTTCTTACATTTGCACTCATGATAAAATCAGAATTTGTGGCTGGAACACAGCTTCAGACGCCTCAAACAATGAAATACAATGTACAGACAGATCCTGTGCAGACGCCGGATCGCGTGTATTTACACAGCAATCGCCGGCTGTTTAAAACTGTACCAAGAGCACGGCTGCAGCAGCCATGCTCTTGATATAACCACTTCCAGCGGATGACGTACATTGACGTGACGCTACTGGAAATGGTTAAAAGGGACACAGAGCGCTGCAGCCAGCACCAGCGGGGAGGAGAGCAGCGGCAACTAATCGAAAAGCAACTAATCCATGATGAGAATAGTTGCCCACGTTTCTCATTATCGATTAGTTGTTGCAGCCCTACTCTGTACCCCAAGACCCCCATTCCTCTATTCTCCATACCCCTTGTCCCTCTGTCCTCCATACCCCAGTCATCTAAACTCTAAAGCCCCCATCCCTTTGCCCTTTATACTCTAGAGCTGTGTCCTTCCTACCTCATACCCCAGAACCCTGTTTTTCATACACCATACCCCTATCCTCAAAACCCTAGACTCCTGTTCCCCATACACGTCCCTTTGTCTTCTCTACTTCAGAACTGTGCTCTCCAAACACCAGGCCAAGCTAATCTGTCCTCCATTCCGCGTGTCCTTTATATCTAAAACCCTTGTATTTCTTTCATTTCTACTCCAGAACCAAGTTCCATTGTCCTCCATACCCCACACCCCCGACTTTTATACCCATGAACCTTGTCCCTCTGTCATCCCTAGCCCAGAACCCTGTGCTCCATACCCCAGAACCCTGTGCTCCATACCCCAGAACCCTGTTCCCACTATTTTGCAAAGATGAATGGGATTATTTATGAAGATCTGAACATGAACGGGATCAGCAGCTGAGCAGGGGAGGAGTTAAGAGGTCACATATGGGTGGTGGCAACGTGTATAGTCCATACGAGGGTGTTGTCAGCTCTCATCAGAGATCTGCGTCCTCAGTGCCATATGGAGCATCAGAAAGGACACGCTGTAAACGCAGTTCCGTATCATCTCTGCTGGGAAATGAGGAATCTCAGCAGCATTCAGGAAAAATGGAAAACTCGCAGCAGCCAGGGCCAGGCTGCCCAGCACGCCATAACTGTTCCCAGTGAACACCGAGATCATCAGGATTGCCAGCGTGGCTCCAGCTCTTGTGAAATAAGAGGCCACCATTTGGGCTTCTTGGGACAGGTACCCAGAGAAGGTAGCCAGGAGCAGCGCAGAGCCCAGGACCAGGTTGGCTGTGAGGTGGTCTCCATTCGGCCAGAAAAAGGAGAAGACCAGGAGAGGCAGGCCGATAATACCGGCAACCCAAAGGCTGGAGGAGTGGAGAGAGCTGGGACCCTCCGTCTCTTCCCATAGGAGGTCACATCCGATGGCAATGGCAGAAGCTGCAGCGTGGAGCAAGAATCCAGCAGACGCCCCTCTGTGTACCTGAAAATACAACGGAACTTCAGAGGAGGACCCTCTCCTGTACAGACCCACCTATCATGAGGCCGGCCTCCTTTATTCAGGAACTTTACAAATGAAAAGGGCTTGGGAACAAAGTGCCTGGGAGCTAAGTGGCGTTAAAAAATTGGGATTTGAACTGTTTGGGATATATTGAGTGCTTGATTTTTTGAATACTTGACATTCTTCAGTAAAAGGGGATTATCCTGGTCACAGCACCCCACACCAAATCACAGCACCCCGCACCAGACCACAGAAACCCACACCCAAGCACCCGATACAACAGCACACCACACAAGACTGCAGTATACCACACACCGCACCACACCACACAAACCCACACCACACCCAATCACAGCACCCCGCACCAGACCACAGAAACCCACACCCAAGCACCCCATACAACAGCACCCCTCAAGACTGCAGTATAGCACACACCGCATCACACCACAGAAACCCACACCACACCCAATCCCAGCACCCCATACTGCACCATACAACAGCACACCAGCCACAGCACCCACAACTCTACGCTGCACCCGACCACAGAGCCCCACACTAAACCCAGCCAATGATACCCCCAAACTGTACCATGGAAGCTTACCTGCAGAGTACGCACAGCAGAGTAGAGACAGACGGCGCTAAGAGACAGATGTGAGGCCACCAGGCCCAACTCCGGGGCCCCCATCAGCAGGGTGGAGAGGAGAGACTGCTGGACATATAGAGAAGAGAGATCAGACACAGAGATCATACCGCCGCCACAATCCCTATTACATGTCCGCCTCTCCACCCTGACACCCCACTATCCCCCCATCACATCTGTTCTCCTCTGCACCATGACACCCCACTATCCCCCCATCACATGTGTTCTCCTCTCCACCATGACACCCCATTATCCCCCCCATCACATCTGTTCTCCTCTGCACCATGACACCCCACTATCCCCCCATCACACCTGTCCTCCTCTCCACCATGACATCCCACTATCCCCCCATCACACCTGTCCTACCCTCCACCATGACACTTCTCTATCACTCATCACACCTGTCCTCCTCTCCACCATGGCACCCCACTATCCCCCCATCACACCTGCCCTCCTCTCCACCATGACATCCCACTATCCCCCCATCACACCTGTCCTCCTCTCCACCATGACACCCCACTATCCCCCCCTCCCCCCCATCACACCTGTCCTCCTCTCCACCATGACATCCCACTATCCCCCATCACACCTGTCCTCTCCACCCCACTATCCCCCATCACACCTGTCCTCCCCTCCACCATGGCACCTCTCTTTTCCCCCTCGGGTAGCCCGGTATCTCTCTCCGGACAGTTTGAATCTCCCGCTCCCCAGCTCTCTCCGGATCATCCGCCCGGCCCTCTCCGGATCATCCGCCCGGCTTTCCCCCGCCCTTCTTCCTCCGATATGGGGATCACACACCTGGCCGACGTGCTCCGAAGTGAGACCCCGGGAGCCATCCAGACCCGTCCCCCCGATCACTACCGAGGTGAGTGACGTCACCGCTGGGGGTTACCACAGCAACCGGAGGGTGGGAGTAGGCCGCACTAACACCAGGATAGCGGCTGTGTAGAGTGCTGGCACTTCCGGGTGGGACAAACACTGACTTCCTATGTACACAGGGAGCATAAAGAGAACCTGTCACATCTGGCCAGTGAACTACGGCCCATTATCCTCCAGGAATAAGCAGAAAATGTGACCTCCAGAGGCAGTAATTGTGCCTCCCCTGGAGGGGCCCCACCTTCCCTAAGGGGCCCTGTCATACTGAACTGGAGGGGGAAGGATGGCATAGTGGACAGGATGGGGGCAGGACAGTATAGTGAACAGGATGGGGGAGGGATTGCATAATGGGGAAGGATGATACAGTGGGTAGGATGGGGGAAGGACAGTATAGTGAACAGGATGGGGAGGGATGGCACAGTGGGTAGGGTGGGGGAAGGACGACATGGGGGGTGGCATAATGGGAAGGATGTCATAGTGGGTAGGATGGGGAAGGATAGGGGAGGTATGGCGCAGGGCAAGGGAAGGATGGCATAGTGGGTAGGATGGGGGAAGGACAGTATAGTGAACAGGATGGGGAGGGATGGCACAGTGGGTAGGGTGGGGGAAGGACGACATAGTGGGTGGGATGGAGGAAGGACAGGATGGGGGAGGGATGGCACAGCGGGGGGGATGGAGGAAGACAGTATAGTGAATAGGGAAGGTATGGCATAATGGAGGATGGCAAAGTGCATAGCAGACAGGGCGAGGGGAGGATAGGGGAAGGATGGCATAGTGGGTAGGATGGGGAGGAATTGCCTATTGGGGAAGGATGGCACAGTGCATAGTAGACAGTGTGGGGGAAGGATGGCATAGTGGGTAGGATTGGGGGAGGATTGCATAGTGGTTAAGATGAGGCATGGAGAAAGGACAGCATAGCGGACAGGGTGGGGGGAAGAACAGCATAGTGGATAGGATGGGGAAGGAAGAGATTAGTGGACAAGATGGGGGAAGGACGTCATAGGGGATAGGGTGGGGTAAGAGTGGCATAGTGGATAAATGAGACTGGGAAAGGACTGCATAGTGGATAGGATGGGGAAGGAAGACATTAGTAGACAGGATGGGGCAAGGACACAATAGTGGATAGGATGGGGTGAGAGTGGCATAGTGGATACATGAGATGAGGAAATAACTGCATAGTGGATAGGATGGGGGAAGGACAACATAGCTGATCTTCAGCCAACTCTCATCCACTTTAATAAGTACCAATTTACAATTACATAGTATTTGAGGTTGAATAAAGACATTAGTCCATCAAGTCCAACCTATAGGATCTCATTCTAGGTGTACCTGTACACCTGTATATTACCTGTACCCCTGTATATTACCTGTACCCCTGTATATTACCTGTACACCTGTATATTACCTGTACCCCTGTATATTACCTGTACCCCTGTATATTACGGTCCCTTAGGAAATCGTTCAAAAGTTTCTTGAACAATTCCACATTCTTTGCTGAAATCAGCGCCTGTGGCAGTGAGTTCCAGACCCTAACTGATCTTACTGTGAAGAACCCCCTTCGCCCCTTGTGCTGGAATTGTTTTCCCACCAATTTTAGGTGGTGGCCTCTAGTTTTTGTAACGGAGTTAATTTTAAATAGTTTATCGCTAATGTTGCTACCACCATTGAACATTTTGTACATGGAGATCATATCCCCCCTTAATCTCCTCACCTCCAATGTGAACATGTTTAAATTTAGTAGCCTCGTCTCATAGCTCTGGTCCTCCATACCCCTAATTAGTTTTGGTTGCCCTCCGCTGGACCTTTTCCAACTCAAGGACATCTTTTCTTAGTACTGGTGACCAGAACTGGACCGCGTACTCCAGATGAGGTCGAACCAATGATCTATAAAGTGGCAAAATTATAGACTTGTCCCTGCAATACATCCCCTTTTTAATACAGGACAAGACCCTGCTAGCTTTGTTTACAGCAGCCTGGCACTGCAAACTACCTTTCAGTTTGTGGTCTACAATGACCCCCAAATCCTTCTCCATTTCTGACTTCCCCAGCGGCATACCCATAATTGTATAACCCATTTGTTTATTTTTAATTCCAAAGTGCATTACTTTGCATTTATCGACATTAAACCTCATCTGCCACATTAATGCCCATCCCCCTATTTTATCCAGGTCCTCCTGTAATGTTATAGTGTCTAAGTCCGTGTCTATTACCCTCCCTATTTTGGTGTCATCCGCAAACACGGAAATATCGCTGTTAACACCCTCCCCGATGTCATTAATAAATAAGTTGAACAATATGGGACCCAGCACAGAACCCTGAGGCAAACCGCTCATTACACTAGCCCAGTCTGAAAAGGTGCCATTTACAGATACCCTCTGGACCCGTTCCTGTAGCCAGTTCTCTATCCACGTACACACCACCTCATCTATGCCCATAGCCCTCAGCTTGTGTAGCAAGCGTTTGTGTGGTACCGTATCAAAAGCCTTTGAGATGCGCCTACAGTGCTTTGGCTTCACATTGATTTGGAATACAATCTCAGACTAACCTCAGGTACTGTGTACATATGCCCAGCGCTGGTCACTGCTTGTCTCAATATGAAGCTTGCAGTTCTTTGCATCAATCCGTTGGGTGGGCCCAAGTGATGGAGACAATGGGCTGGTGTCTTCCATAGGAGACCTCTAAACAATGGATAACCTGAGTCCTCCGAGGTACATACAAACAACGCTCACCCTGTGGGCCTGCAACAAATGCCCGTTAAACAGCCCTGTGGCATTGGATCGTCTCTTTTCTTCTTGGCACAAACACAAACCTGCACACGTGACTTGAAATCCAATGTGAGCAGATAGCAGGAATTACAAAGTCACGTTACAATCAGCTGATATTTTATTGATAAAACTGATATTTAGGGTAATGGAAAGTGAGGATTCTCCGTAATGTATTTCTGTGATTGCTTCCTCCAGGGAAAATCCTGGCAGTGGACGCCTCCGTGTTTATCTGGCAGTTCCAGTCAGCGATACCTACACTTAACAACCGCACCGGCGAGGACATCAGGTGAGAACATATCGGGGAGGACAGATAGATATCGCACCTCTTGTACCAGTGTCAGCGCTGAGAGCGGGTGTTATGAGCCCCAGTCAATCACATTCACTAGAGCCCTGAAAAATGGCTTGAAGCTGAACTCCGGTCTTCCCTTCAGTCTCATATCTGACCTCCGGTCTTCCCTTCAGTCTCATATCTGACCTCCGGTCTTCCCTTCAGTCTCATATCTGACCTCCGGTCTTCCCTTCAGTCTCATATCTGACCTCCGGTCTTCCCTTCAGTCTCATATCTGACCTCCGACCTTCCCTTCAGTCTTATATCTGACCTCCGGCCTTCCCTTCAGTCTTATATCTGACCTCCGTCCTTCCCTTCAGTCTTCTATATTATTATTATTATTATTATACAGGATTTATATAGCGCTAACAGTTTGCGCAGCGCTTATATGACCTCCGGTCTTCCCTTCAGTCTCGTATCTGTCCTCCGGTCTTCCCTTCAGTCTCGTATCTGTCCTCCGGTCTTCCCTTCAGTCTCATATCTGACCTCCGGTATTCCATTCAGTCTTATATCTGACCTCCGGCCTTCCCTTCAGTCTTATATCTGACCTCCGTCCTTCCCTTCAGTCTTATATCTGACCTCCGGCCTTCCCTTCAGTCTTATATCTGACCTCCGGCCTTCCCTTCAGTCTTATATCTGACCTCCGGCCTTCCCTCCAGTCTTGCACAGTTGTACCGGCTCCTCTCCTGGACTGAAATGGCTTCCTCTGATATCACTGCATACTGGGAGCTTCTCACCATGTGCATAAAGGTGGCCATACACCTTACGATTATCGGACGAAACTATTCGTCCGATGATCGATGGGAGAGACTCTAGTGAAGTCCTGGAGGTGAGCATGGGAGGAGTTGACGAGGGGGCCGGAAAGCAGGAGGTTTTTGGAAGTGCGGAGGGGACGGTTAGGGTGATACCATGCGACAAGGTTTGAGATATAGCCGGGGGCAGAGCTATGGATGGCTTTGTACTAGTAGTGCCGTGCAACCAGCATCCGGCCAGCTATACGCTGGCCAGAACTTTTATAAATACTGTATATTTATTTATTTGTATTTCTTTATATGCAGTGTACAGTCACATCAGTCCCTGACCTCTAGGATCTTGCAATCTAAGGTCCCTATCTCACATGTGTACATACAAGGGCCAATTTAGACAGGAGCCAATTAACCTACCAGCATGTCTTTTGGAGTGTGGGAGGAAACTGGAGTACCCGGAGGAAACTCACGCAAATGGACCCCTTAGTGCAGGGATGTCCAAACTGCGGCCCTCCAGCTGTGGCGAAACTACGAATCCCATGAGGCTTTGCAAGATTCTCACAGCCACAGACATGACTCCCGGAGAGAGATGCTTCATGGGATTTGTAGTTTCACCTCAGCTGGAGGGCCGGAGTTTGGACATCCCTGCCTTAGGGTCTGATTTGTAAAGCATTCATAGATTGTGTAGCTGGGTGAACAATGTTCACAGCGCATTGCTGCCACTAGATGAAGCTGAGAAGCGTAGGAGGTTCCTATGCTCCTCAGCTCCATCTAGTGGGAGTAATGCACTGCAAATGTCCTTAAACCAGCTATACACTTGGTGAATGCTTTATAAATCACACGCTTAAAGACAGGGTGGTATTATGTAGACCAGGAGTCCTCAAACTGCGGCCCACCAGGGTCCTTAACCCGGCTTGCTCGGCCGCACGCCCCTTGCATAGGCGTCAGTGCCGGATTAACGTAGGGGCTAAGGGAGCTGCAGCAACAACATAAAGCAATCAATCGGGTCCTGGGAGAGATCGGCATTCCATCAGCCCCCGCCTGGTGTCGGGGAAGAGACAGCTTCTGTGTTCGGCCTGTGTGGCTCCGCCCTTTCATCTCAGCACGCCGAGGCACGGGACGTACAGAAGCCTGGCAAATCAAATGCCAGGCTTCCTTTAGCAACGCAACGACAGTGCGGCTGCGCCCCTCCAACTTTGGGCGCACGCCAGCACAGGCTTCTGGAGGGCGGCCAATAAGAAGAAACCTGGGATATGACGTGATGCAGGGGCGTAACTAGAAATCACAGGGCCCCATAGCAAAATTGTGTATGGGGCCCCGTGATTGCTAGTTATGCCACTTGCAGAGCCCACCATAGACTCTCTATGGTGGGCTCTGCAAGGTCTCAGTTGGGCTGCACGCATCTTACCTGTCAGCGTTGTCCACCTTTCGTGGTCGCCGCTGCCGGGCCCCCGCCTCCTCTTCCGTCCTCGGCCTCCGCCTCCTTCTCTCGACTGGCCCCGCCTCCTCTTACATCACTGGCCCCACCTGCTCTTAGATCGCTGGAGATGTCATCTCCCTGCCTCTCCCAAAGCTGCACGTTGCCGTCAAGAGGTAAGACAGGGCAGTCTACATGACCATTCATTTTAATAAATAACAAATACTTGAGCTGTAGAAAATGATAACAAATCATGCTAGTGCATGTCCCGGGCTAAGAAAAATGTTTTGTTTATTATAGAAGTTGCTAAAAAATATTTATATATATACCCTCTAAGTAAGGGCTTATTCACACCAATTGTGGAGGGTTCCAGAGCGGCAGCTGCTTCAGATTATTTCAAACTATGATCCGGCCCCCGACAATGTCTGAGGGAAAGTGAACTGGCCCCCTGTTTAAAAAGTTTGAGGACCCCTGATGTAGACCCTTCTGCTGCACCAATAACTGAGCCGCCTCTCTGGGGGTTAGTAGGCGGGCGCACTCTTCAGGGCTGATTTGGGTCACTTCCAGACACATATACTGCAGGAGGTTTGTTTGATAATGACTGGTTAATGCAGCACTCAAACCGTTATCTATATGGGAAAATGTGCAACATCTGGATTAACACGATGAGTATTTTTCTGCAGTGTGTTACAGGGACTCTTTAACCGCACAATCTACATGCTGGAGAAGGGGATGAAACCTGTCTATGTATTTGATGGAGTACCGCCAGAAAGAAAGCGCGCCAAGGTGAGTGAGCCTTGGAGAATTGCCGGGTTCTGTGGTCACTATCTGGCAGGGACGGGCAGATTATCCTAAAATATGGCAGCCATCTTGTTCTCTGTATAACGAAAGTGATATTTCAAAGCTTTATTTTAGTTCTGCCCCCAGTTGATTCATCTCTCTGCCAAGAGGGACTGTCTGTTTCTCATCTATGATCTGAAAACTGTGGCACTTAAAGATTTGACATTCTTCTATCTTAGGTCAGCCAAGACGGCAGCTGTCAGGTCAGGAGACCATTCAGAGCTGTGGAGAGCCCAGGTAAGGGCATGACTTTACACCTGTATGAGAGACGATAACACGTCATGTACATAGATGCTATCTGTCCCGGGTTTTCCAAGACAGTGCCACATCTTGGTTTCCTGTCCCATTGATGTCCTGGACCATGTCCCAGGGTCAACCTTATATGCAGGGCCATCCTTAGAATGAGGCAGCCTGAATCGGTTGCCTCAGGCAGCATCTCTTTGGGTCACATGGGGGGGGGGGGGGGGGGGGGGGGGAAAAAAACAGCACAGGAGAGAAGGTGTGTCTGGGTGGGTGTGATTTGGGCATGCCCACCTGGAAAGCGGGCAGACTAAATTCAGACGGTGGGTGGGGCTAACAGTGTCCTGGGATCCGGGACCATAATGTTGGTAAGCACAAAACTGGTCAGGACATTGAACGTTGCGTGTCCACCATTCATTTCATAGGGCCGGCTTAACACAGATACAGCCACAACAGTGCTGCATGTCTTATTTTTTGACATCACATCAAGCTGCTGTGTATAGATGTAAACCAGCCACATAGAAAGTAAAAAGACAACTATTGTGCCGCCCCAATGGGGCATAGAATATGTTATTTACATTAATGAAGATGAGAATGTATATAGTTATTTCCTTGAACCATTTTTCCTATGGCTATTCTACATTTAGTTATATGCTGCCATCTAGTGACCCTTTGTGGTAATGCACTTGTTTTCCATGTTCCTTTTGCTGAGATCGATTACACATTTCCCCTTTGTATATGCTCCACCCTTCTTCCTGGTCAGTACTTCCTGTGTCATGGATGCAGCTACAGGCCACATGTAACAAGGGACACATGTATTCCACATAGTACGCTACGGCGTTATCATCTTTTGACCGCATAATACCTCAGCCATTCATCTGTTGTTTCCTGTCATCTGATGTTCAGAATAAAGCACCTTTATGGATGAAACTGTATTGGTGAATTCAGCTATCTGATAAGGATTGTCCTCAGTGATTGTATCCGCCTATACAGGCCAGGCATAGAGGTCTCAGCAAGGGATAAGTCAATTGCACAACAATGGGAGTCAAAATAACTATAAATGTCCTTTTTAATTCAGATATACCCTATGCTGCATCTCATGAATAGTAGTTATGCTTTGCATGTCCCATGGTGTATTCTGTCTGTATATGTCAAATACAATGTCATGTGTCCTAGTGTCTCCTGTCTAACATGCTGCACCCGCACCTTTTCACAGTGTATAGTTGTCTGTCCCCTTTCTAGTGTTATTCTATATCAGGGGTAGGCAACGTTCGCACTCCTGCTGTGGTGAAACTCCAAATCCTGTAATGCTTCTGCCTCTGAGAGTCATGACTGCGGCATTGAGTCTTGCAACGGCTCATGGGAATTGTAGTTCCCGAGGCTGGAGTACCGAGTTGGCTTCCCCCTATTGTTATACAGAAATCTTACATGTGTGTCACTGCAGGGCCAGAGAGGCAGGGAGACCTGAAGAAACTGCTCAGACTCATGGGAGTGCCTGTTGTACAGGTAAGATTAATGTATATTGCGTTAACCAATTCTGTAATTGTATAGCTCCATAAGGCCATGGAGCCATAAGGCCAACACCCCATGGGCTTCACCCTATTTCATCATACTCAACTGTTAGCCTGCATGGGGGCGGTAAGCTGGCTGCCAGTCAATGGAGAGCGGACCTGATGGGGAACCATTATCCTCACATCACCCCTCTGATTCCTGCCACCAGACTCGTGTTGTATCCACAGATTTTCAGTCTGAACCCTCCTCATTGGCTCTCCTCACTGCGTTATGTCTCCCCTCTTCTCCTCTCAGGCCCCCAGTGAGGCAGAAGCCACTTGCGCCGCCCTAGTGAAGAGTGACAAGGCGTGGGGAGCAGTGACAGAAGACATGGACGCTCTGCCTTTCGGCTGCACCCGCCTCATACGGAACCTGAAGGCTGATAAGAAGAAGTATGTGTCTGAGATATTCTAGATCCTTGGTTCTCAATTGGTGGGCCGCGACCCCACGTTCAGTGGGTCACTACATGCCTTCCACTTTTCTAGGTGAGAGGCTCCTCTGCCTCCCCCTAGCGCAGGACTGTCAGTTCTCGTGCCAAGCAGACATTCAAAATATGCTGCCCGGTGCAGTGTCAGCTTGAGGTGGGGTGGTATGGGGGTATGGCCTCAAGGGAGCTCCATCCATACGTGCATTGCTTACAACAACCTCACGTGTCCTATAGAGGTGCCTGGACCGGAGTGATGTCACATTCTGCATTCTACAGAGCGCACAAGGGAGCTGTACAAGCAATGCACATATGGATGGAGCTCTGTCACATGACAGGAACCCACACTGGACTCTAGTTCTCGGAAGATGGGGAGACTGGGTGGACCTTTAAAAAAGGTGAGTGTGTGAGATTGTGTCTATAGTTGTGTATGTTTGTCAGTTTTTTTTGAGGGCCCATTCACACTGGTACAGTGTGTTAATCACATAGTACCCTGCGATTAACACACTGTACCACGCAAATGCACCTACTGTACATTAAGGTGTGGGAGGTGTGTTGCATTGCCATTCATTTGAATGGTACCCCAAATGCACCTCCCGCCCACAGTTCGTACGCCCACACCGGAATGCGCGGCACCCTAATGCCTTGCGTTCCATTGCAGTGCGACTTGGTTCGCGACTTAATGACCAAGGACACATGTGGGTCCTGAGGTTACACAGGTTGAGAACCTCTGCTCTAAATGATAGTTTATTATTTGAAGATAAGATACAAAACTGGATAACTATTGGTTGAAGTTGGGATCCTGGGTGGGGGTGTTATATTTGTGTAGAGTGGTGACTTACTGTCTTTCTCCTACAGGTGACCCAGTAAATGTCCTGTATGTATGATCTCAGATGTATCATAAATGTATTGTATGTATGATGTCAGCCATAATATAAATGTATTGTATGTATGATGTCATACATCATGTCCATTTCCTCCAGAGAGATTGAAGAGTATAATCTTCCCGAGATCCTGAGCACATTGAAAATGAGTCGAGAACAGGTTAGTAACAGAGGAGTTACTTTGTGTTCCTGTCTTTGTATGTCTTTGGCACCAACATAGTCCAGAGTGCAGTACATTGCTATGAGAATAGGCCTCAGTGTGTTACACAATGGTTTATTTAAAATAACTGGAGCTGTCACCAGGCTCCTTGTGTAATTAAAAAGATGACAAATATTAATGATGATTCCCAATATCTGCCAGGATATTACGACTCTTGCTTGCTGCAGAGGAGTTTCTCTTTACTGTGGTTGTAAAACATACCCAGGATCCCTTGCTCCATGTTATTTCTGCATACTGTGTGACATTGGATGAGATGACACCCAGAATCCCTTGCTGCAGAAGTATATCTATATACCATGTAATCACTGGATGCAGTATTGCCTGATATCCTGGGAGGTGAAGTCCAGCTATTATAATCTATCGTTGCTCCTCTCCTTTGGAAGATGATAGACTTACGTCAACCTATCGCAGAGCTCAGGGGCTGGAAAGCTTCAAGGAGAACTACGGGGTAAGTGTTTTTCCCCCCAGTTGGTTAAGGGTCACAGGAGGACTCCCGTGACCCAAACCTCAGTATATCGCCAGCTACAGCTCGCGGTATACTGAGACCGCCGCAGCCGGGACAGGTCCTGACATTACTATCGAGATCCACCCAGCTGGCGAGTGAGAGCTGGCTCTGCCTATCCAGAGGCAGAGCCAGCTGTACCCGCCCCCTCCGCCATACGTTCCGCCAGTCAGCACTGTAGGAATCGCAAAGCTGAGGGGAGGAATCCCTGCAGGGAGCCGTGAGTGACAGTCACGGCTCTCTGCAGGGACAGGATCGAGAAGTGAGCTAGCGACGGTATGTGTTCTGTCACTTCCCGATCTATTGATCCGACCTGTGACAGTTTCATTGTCACAGGTCGGCTCGAACTATGAGGTTGAGTGAAAATCACTCACCTCATAGTTCTCCTTTAATTTCACTTTCACCTCAAAAAAACACATTTGTTATTATATACTACAAATGCAGCACGGTTTTGTCTTGTACAGATTTTGTTTGCATTGAGGAGATTTTCCTGTACTTCCTGCCCCGTAGACACAACAGGAAATGAGAGGAAATCTCTCCAAAGTGAGGGAAATCCGTTCTTAGATAGTTGTCACCGAAACAGATGCGCCTAATAGATTTGGCCTCTATTCGTGGTCTGAGGACAACTGTGACATTAGGATTTCCCATCATTTTCAGTCCCGATGACATTGGTCCCCCCGGACAAATAGAGAGGATGGATTTCCCCAGCAGGGACACAGACAGCCATAAAAACCTGACAGAAGGTCTAAACCTTCCCTACTCTATCCAAAACGTTGGCTTTCAATACACTTTAACCCCTTCACGGCCAACGACGTACAGTGTACGTCGCTGGCATCGGGGGATGTTTAAACAGACAAAGCCACCGGGAGTCTGTTTAAACTTGTAAAGCCGACTGTCAGCTTTACAGTAGAAGCGATTCTGGCGACTCAGCTGCCACCAGATCGCTTCTACGGCCTGGTGAAGGGGTCCCTCGCCCGACAACCCCGCCGTGTTTTCCAGGCTCCGTTGCCCCTCCTACGGACCTGGGACCGGCTTCTCTGGTGTGGGCGGGAAGCCGGGGAGGAGATGGACGAATCTCCATTCGTAGATCCCCTCCCCGTTCTGTGATCCAGTCCCATAGCGATCTGCATGCCAATAGCTTATTTGGAGTGTAAAGGTGACATTGGGGGTCTTTTGGATCCCCCAGCATCACCTTAAAGAGTACCTGTCACCACCATCTGCTATCACATGGGGGGCTTGTAAGCCCCCCTATGTGATAGCAATTAAAGTAAAGTAAAAAAATAAATAATAACTAGACATGTGCGATTTGTTTCGTTCCGAATCGAAATTCGGACAAATTTTCAGAAATTCGGACATTCGGATGTATCTGAATTACAGATATAACGAATGCAAACGAATCCGAATTTCCGTTTCCGAAATTCGGCAGCGGTAGTTCGTTCGACCGTTCGTTTCTTATTCGTTTCTTATTCGTTTCTTATTCGTTTCGTTCGTTGGAGCAAAAGGAGAAAAACATTTTCCCCCTCAAATGCCACTTTGCTGCAAACGAACGAACGGATGAACGAAACTAATAAGAAACGAAAACGAAACAAACGGTCGAACGAACTACCGCTAACGAATTTCATCCGAATCCGAATTCCGAATCCGAATTGACTTTCACACCCGAATCCCAAAAAACGAAATACAGATGTTCCTCACTTACCGACTTACCTGTTTTGCGACCACTCGCACTTACGACGGAGCGCCGATCGGCCTCCGACCTTGCGCGTCAGCGTCAGTGCGCCGTGTCGCCGGCGGAAGTGGTGTCCTCCGATCTTCATTGCGGGTCCTGGTAAGTATTTTCATTGCCCGATGTACAGTACACTGTTCGTTACTGTACATCGGCAACGCTATACAGTACTGTACTAATGCAGTACAGTACTGTATAGAGTTCCTCACTTAACGACCAATCCGTTTAACGACCTGGTCGTAGGAACGGAACTCGGTCGTTAAGTGAGGAATACCTGTAACACAAATCCGAATTTAAAACGAAACGAAACTAAACGAATTTTTTGGCAGTGCACATGTCTAATAATATTAACATTACATAAAATTAATGAAAAACACACATTGGGTGCCCCAATGTGAAAGGACCTCTTTACTAGACGGCTGGGGGATTCTCCTTCGAAGCGCTTCGGGAACATAGAATGAACTACACTGAGGCAGATTCACACATGCTCAGTTTTATTATAACAGTTTCTCAGTCTTTATACTGTACAAAATGCTGAATCAACATTTAAACTTTGTACCATATAAGCACATACTGAAGAGAGGCAGTGTCTTGAGAAATAGATAAAAATACACATTTTGGAGTCATATAACATTGAATTAAAAGGTGGCTTGTATTGTATTATCAAATGATACTTTCAATATGTATCTCTAAACTGATGACCTCTGGGGGATTTTAAAGCGTCGTCTATGGATTTTTTTGGCTACTGAAGTTTGTCGCCGTTTCACGGATGTACGCAATTTTTAACCCGGGCATGTTGGGTATTTATGTACTCGTTGTAACTTCACCTTTTATATTTTATTTTAAAAATGGGTATTTTATTGTTTTTTTGGAGCATTTAAGTAAATTTTTCACTAAATTTTGGGGTTTGATAAGGAGTTGCGCTAATATCGTGCAACATACAAATTTGCAACAGCGACTATTTTATTCTACAGGGTCTCGGCATTCAGAAAATATATAATGTTGGGGGGTTTTAAGTAATTTTCAGGCATAAAATGTGGAATATATCATGGGTGCAAAAAAAAAAAAAGACCTCAGTCATGAAGGGGTTAATATTCATGTTGTGTTTCACCCCTGTAGTTCGTAGACCTGTGTATCCTGCTGGGTTGTGATTATACTTCGAAGATCAAAGGTTTGGGGGAGAAAAAAGCATTAAAGATGATTCAGAAATACGGAACCATCGAAAATATCCTTCAAACCATCAGATCGGAGGTGAGGGGGCTGGAGGCCATTTCTTCCTGCCAGTCTGTGTTATAGTGCGATACGTTATCAGCGTTCAGGACATTGATGTCTCATCTTCCATATTTCCCCATATATCTCCTCCATCATTCCTCATCTTCCATGTTTCCAGATATCTCCTCCATCATTACTCATCTTCCATATTTCCAAATATATCTCCTCCATCATTCCTCATCTTCCATGTTTCCAGATATCTCCTCCATCATTACTCATCTTCCATATTCCCCCATATATCTCCTCCATCATTCATCATCTTCCATGTTTCCAGATATCTCCTCCATCATTACTCATCTTCCATATTCCCCCATATATCTCCTCCATCATTCCTCCTCTTCCATGTTTCCAGATATCTCCTCCATCATTCCTCCTCTTCCATGTTTCCAGATATCTCCTCCATCATTCCTCCTCTTCCATGTTTCCAGATATCTCCTCCATCATTCCTCCTCTTCCATGTTTCCAGATATCTCCTCCATCATTCCTCCTCTTCCATGTTTCCAGATATCTCCTCCATCATTCCTCCTCTTCCATGTTTCCAGATATCTCCTCCATCATTCCTCCTCTTCCATGTTTCCAGATATCTCCTCCATCATTCCTCCTCTTCCATGTTTCCAGATATCTCCTCCATCATTCCTCCTCTTCCATGTTTCCAGATATCTCCTCCATCATTCCTCCTCTTCCATGTTTCCAGATATCTCCTCCATCATTCCTCCTCTTCCATGTTTCCAGATATCTCCTCCATCATTCCTCCTCTTCCATGTTTCCAGATATCTCCTCCATCATTCCTCCTCTTCCATGTTTCCAGATATCTCCTCCATCATTCCTCCTCTTCCATGTTTCCAGATATCTCCTCCATCATTCCTCCTCTTCCATGTTTCCAGATATCTCCTCCATCATTCCTCCTCTTCCATGTTTCCAGATATCTCCTCCATCATTCCTCCTCTTCCATGTTTCCAGATATCTCCTCCATCATTCCTCCTCTTCCATGTTTCCAGATATCTCCTCCATCATTCCTCCTCTTCCATGTTTCCAGATATCTCCTCCATCATTCCTCCTCTTCCATGTTTCCAGATATCTCCTCCATCATTCCTCCTCTTCCATGTTTCCAGATATCTCCTCCATCATTCCTCCTCTTCCATGTTTCCAGATATCTCCTCCATCATTCCTCCTCTTCCATGTTTCCAGATATCTCCTCCATCATTCCTCCTCTTCCATGTTTCCAGATATCTCCTCCATCATTCCTCCTCTTCCATGTTTCCAGATATCTCCTCCATCATTCCTCATCTTTCATGTTTCCAGATATCTCCTCCATCATTCCTCATCTTTCATATTTCTAGATATCTCCTCCATCATTCCTCATCTTCCATTTTTTCCAGATATCTCCTCCATCATTCCTCATCTTTCATGTTTCCAGATATCTCCTCCATCATTCCTCATCTTCCATAGTCTCAATCATCCTTCCTCATTTTCCATTTCTGTAGACATTTCCTACATTATCCATCATCTTCCATGTTTCCAGATATCTCCTCCATCATTCCTCATCTTCCATAGTCTCAATCATCCTTCCTCATTTTCCATTTCTGTAGACATTTCCTACATTATCCATCATCTTCCATGTTTCCAGATATCTCCTCCATCATTCCTCATCTTCCATAGTCTCAATCATCCTTCCTCATTTTCCATTTCTGTAGACATTTCCTACATTATCCATCATCTTCCATGTTTCCAGATATCTCCTCCATCATTCCTCATCTTCCATAGTCTCAATCATCCTTCCTCATTTTCCATTTCTGTAGACATTTCCTACATTATCCATCATCTTCCATGTTTCCAGATATCTCCTCCATCATTCCTCATCTTCCATAGTCTCAATCATCCTTCCTCATTTTCCATTTCTGTAGACATTTCCTACATTATCCATCATCTTCCATGTTTCCAGATATCTCCTCCATCATTCCTCATCTTCCATGTTTCCAGATATCTCCTCCATCATTACTCATCTTCCATATTTCCAAATATATCTCCTCCATCATTCCTCATCTTCCATAGTCTCAATCATCCTTCCTCATTTTCCATTTCTGTAGACATTTCCTACATTATCCATCATCTTCCATGTTTCCAGATATCTCCTCCATCATTCCTCATCTTCCATATTTCCAAATATCTCTTTTATCGTTATTCATCTTCTATATTTCTAGATATCTCCTCCAGCATCACTCATCTTCCATATTTCAGGCTGTCTTCCCGTCATTCCTCACCTTCCATATTTCAAGATCTCTCCCCAGTCTTCCTTCATCTTCCATTTTCCTACAAATATTTCCTCCATCATCCCTAATTTTCCATATTTCAGGCTGTCTTCTCGTCATTCCTCATCTTCTATATTTCCAGATTTCTCCTCCATTATTCCTCATCTTTCATGTTTCCAAATGTATCACAAATCATCATTCCTTATCTTCCATATCTACAGATAGATGTCCCCCATAGTGTCAGAGCACATTGAAAACCAGGCAAGCAAAAGGTGCTAGTTAAAATATTTATTAAGAACAGTGTCCCCAGAGCAAGCAGAGTCTTAAACCAGAACAAGCCAGAGTCAGGAGCCGGAGTGGGTAGTCGTCCAAGCCAGGTCAGGAACACAGAGATCAGCGTCACTTCTGTTGTCTTGTGCCAGTCTTGCCCCTCCCCCGTTCTGCCCTAACATTGACTAGTTGCTGACGGCCACAATTCGCACGTTCAGACCCAGATTTTCGGCTGACAGTCCGGTCTTTAAACACTTTAACAATGAGCCCCTCTTGAACATGTAACTAATTCTGCTGTTTTGCTGATACTCGCTCCATGGCTCTGAGCGCCAACAATCATCCCACGTTCAAAGGCTGTTAAATCGCGTTGTTTACCCGTATCTTCAGAAACAAATCACTTCTACTGTCGTGGTAAACAACCTGCTTCCCTATTTATAATGGTCTGGCTCTCTAGCAACTTCAGCGCCAAATTATAGCTAATCTGCCTACAAACGTCAGGTGGTCATAATAATCTGGCCACTCAGTGTATATAGTAAGTGGGGTGACATCAGGAAACTCCCATCTGACTCTCTCCGATGATGCTCTCCTGTCTGGCCATAGGAGGGAGCCTGGGAGTAGTGAGCAACGTTCCAGAGTCTGCTCCAGCAAGGAAGGAAACAGGTGAGTAAAATGGCAGCCGAACCAGAATGCTGCAAACCAGTAAAGTCATGGTAGAACCCCGACACATAGTCCATCATTTTCCATATTCCTAGATACATCTCCTCCATCATCCCTCCTCTTCCATATTTCTGTACCCTCCATGCCCTCTACTTCTAAGATCCCCTGTATATGGAGTGGCTTTGCACTCACTCTCTTCTCTTTATTCAGGATCGTATTCCCTCAGATTTCTGTTACAAAGAGGCGCGAAGACTGTTCCTGGAGCCTGAGGTGGCTGATGTCACCGCACTGGACCTAGAATGGAAGAAGGTGGAAGAAGGCCAAGTCCTTCAGTTCCTGTCAGGGGAGAAGTTTATGAAGTATGTGTGTTCAGAAGGACAGAATGAGTGATTACCTGAGGGAGGAGAACAGACCCTTATTAACTTACTAATTCTAAGGAGACAGAGGCTAACATTTGTATCTTTTTTTTTTGGGGGGGTGCTTGTTAATACTCCTTTCCTGGTAACAAAGAATGGCTTTTATAATGTTATTCATAGATGAGAAGCTTTGTAGTAGGACTTTGCTGTTCTTGGCAGTATTGTATCTCTGTAGAGTAACACTGTGCTCTTCCTGGTAGTATTGTATGTCTGTAGAGTAACACTGTGCTCTTCCTGGTAGTATTGTATCTCTGTAGAGTAATACTGTGCTGTTCCTGGTAGTATTGTATCTCTGTAGAGTAACACTGTGCTGTTCCTGGTAGTATTGTATGTCTGTAGAGTAACACTGTGCTCTTCCTGGTAGTATTGTGTGTCTGTAGAGTAACACTGTGCTCTTCCTGGTAGTATTGTATGTCTGTAGAGTGACACTGTGCTCTTCCTGGTAGTATTGTGTGTCTGTAGAGTAATCATACGATAGTGCTGGACTGGCTGTGATAATAGTGTGTTCCTCCTTCCAGCAAGGAGAGGGTGCAGCAAGCATTGCAGAAACTCCATCCAGTTAAAACGTCGAGAAAGCGCAAAGCCAAATCCGGAGCCAGCGGCTCATCTGCGGAGAATCAGAAGAAGATCAACGATTTCTTCACTGTGAAGAAATCAGCAACCCAGAGCAAGGTAAGCAAAGTACGGCTCACACTACACTCACCTGAGAACCTACCTAGGCACTTACCTGTCACTGGGAACAGCAGGGATAGAGAGCAAAGTACAGCTCACACCTGTTACTGGCAGCACAGCTAGTAGAGTCACCTCACCTGAGCACTTACCTGTCACTGGGAACCCAGGTAGGGGAGGGTGATGTGCAGCTCACGCTCACCTCACCTGAGCACTTACCTGTCACTGGGAACCCAGGTAGGGGAGGGTGATGTGCAGCTCACGCTCACCTCACCTGAGCACTTACCTGTCACTGGGAACCCAGGTAGGGGAGGGTGATGTGCAGCTCACGCTCACCTCACCTGAGCACTTACCTGTCACTAGGAGCACAGCTATGGAAGTGCACTTACCTATCGCTGGTAACAGAGGTAGGGGAGGGTGAAGTACAGCTAACACTCACTTAACTTGAGCACTTACATGTCACTTGGAACCCAGGTAGGGGAAGGTGACGTAAAGCTCACGGTCATCTCAACTGAGCACTTACCTATCAGTAGGAGCACAGCTAGTGCAGAGAGAAGAACAGATCATGCTCAACTTACCTGAGCACTGGTGTAAAACTGATCCATCATCTAATCAGGTTGAAGAGGAAAGCACTAGATGATGCTTTACATCCTCCAGCCAGGAAGTGAGACGGGCTCTATGTAACTTGCTGGAGCTTCTAATGCACATTGTGAGAAGCTCCCAGTGTGCAGTGAGATCAGAGGAAGCCATTTCAGTCCAGGAGAGGAGCTGTTACAACTGTGCAAGACTGAAGGGAAGGATGGAGGTCAGATACAAGACTAAAGGGAAGGCCGGAGGTCGGTATATAAGACAGAAGGGGAGGCCGGAGGTCAGATAGAAGACTGGAGGGAAGAACGGAGGTCAGATAGAAGACTGAAGGGAAGGACGGAGTTCAGATATAAGACTGAAGGGGAGGACGGAGGTCAGATAGAAGACTGAAGGGAAGGCCGGAGGTCAGATAGAAGACTGAAGGGAAGGCCGGAGGTCAGATAGAGGACTGGAGGGAAAGACGGAGGTCAGATATAAGACTGAAGGGAAGGACGGAGTTCAGATATAAGACTGAAGGGGAGGACGGAGGTCAGATAGAAGACTGAAAGAAAGGCCGGAGGTCAGATAGAAGACTGAAGGGAAGAACGGAGGTCAGATAGAAGACTGAAGGGAAGAACGGAGGTCAGATAGAAGACTGGAGGGAAGAACGGAGGTCAGATAGAAGACTGAAGGGAAAACAGCAGGTCAGATAGAAGACTGAAGAGGAGGACGGAGGTCAGATAGAAGACTGAAGAGGAGGACGGAGGTCAGATAGAAGACTGAAGAGGAGGACGGAGGTCAGATAGAAGACTGAAGGGAAGGACGGAGGTCAGATAGAAGACTGAAGGGAAGAACGGAGGTCAGATAGAAGACTGAAGGGAAGAACGGAGGTCAGATAGAAGACTGAAGGGAAAGACGGAGGTCAGATAGAAGACTGAAGGGAAGAACGGAGGTAAGATAGAAGACTGAAGGGAAAAACGGAGGTCAGATAGAAGACTGAAGGGGAGGACGGAGGTCAGATAGAAGACTGAAGGGAAGAACGGAGGTCAGATAGAAGACTGAAGGGGAGGACGGAGGTCAGATAGAAGACTGAAGGGAAGAACTGAGGCCAGATAGAAGACTGAAGGGAAGAACGGAGGTCAGATAGAAGACTGAAGGGAAGGCCGGAGGTCAGATATAAGACTGAAGGGAAGGCCGGAGTTTAGTTTGAACTCAGATTAGTAAATGTGAACTGTAATTGGCTTTGATGTAGAATAGTTTGGAACATCCCTCTGTCTGCACTCGGCATTAATCTGCAGACAGTTCGGAGAGCGAGAGGCGGTTTCTCATGTTTTGTTTTTTGTCTTCTCCGACAGACCTCTATGGGGAGCACTCCAACGTCCAGCAGATGATCCCCAGAGTCTGAATATATCGGAGTTCTGGCATCGAGCTCCATCAGTTGGGAGATTGAACAATTCTGGATTCCAGATACATTTTATTTTATCATGTTACAATGATGGCTTGGGGCAGAGACTGCAGTAATGCCAATTCCCTTGTGTTTGCTGCGGTGTACAGGCTCTCTGTGTTTCAGGAATGGGATGGAGGGGTTCTCACCGTCATATTCTTTTCTTGTTGAGTTCTTTGAGGTGGCACAGAACGAATCAGGTAGTATATGTCATTCTTACAGGGGGTTGGACACGAGGAAAGTTGCCCCTTCCCTCTGGGCTGTAGCAGAGTGTGAGAAAGGGCTTTTCTTTCTTACCCGTTGAGGGACACAGGAAGTCTTTAGCCTTCGGGTTATACTAATGCCTACAGTATTACACACCATATGTAGGCCAGCTCAGGATAGCCCCTCCTGCTACCAGCATGCCTTCTAGTCTCCTAGAAGGATGGACTTCTTTTCTTGTTGTGTTAAAAATGAACCTAATTTTGCTAGCACACGTTTAATCATGGATTTTTTTGTTTTGTTTATTCAACACTCTACTCAACGTTGCTGCTGGTGTTTGTCTTTCCAACTGCAGCTTTTCCACGCAATTGTCTTCAGACTGGCTTTTGCTGTACAATATCCAGACCCTTTGGACTGGATATTGTGGAAATAGCCTGGAAGTGGTCTTTAGGCACCGGGTTTTCAGATTCTGTTCTGGTAATAGCTGCAGAGCACTTTCCAAGTCCAGAGCGACTGGCATTGACTCCGTGCTTGACCTGTGCCTGAAGAGTTAATATTCCATCAGGGTCAAGTATCACGGGGCTACCTCATTTACATAGGTTGCGAGGCATCTTTATTCTTTGTTCCTGCCGGTTTTGCCACAGAAAGGTTTAACACTGTGGGGCTAAGGACTAAGCGCTGACATCATCCACTTGCTGGGGTGTTGTGCACATGCAGAGTGGGATAGTGACTTATACTGTCCTGTCGCTTACAAAGCCATCCACAACTCCGCCCCCGGCTATATCTCAAACCTTGTCTCAAAGTATCACCCCAACCGTCCCCTCCACTCTTCCCAAGACCTCCTGCTTTCCAGCTCCCTTGTCAACTCCTCCCATACTCGCCTCCAGGACTTCTCTAGAGTCTCTCCCATCCTCTGGAACTCTTTACCCCAACCTGTCCGTCTGTCGCCCACCTTGACTGCCTTTAGGCATTCCCTAAAGACTCATCTCTTCAGGGAAGCCTATCCCACCTCAACCTAACCACTCAGCCATCATGTTCTCAAACAATTCATCACCACACAGCTACCTCCTCATGTATCACTGGCACCTCCCTCTTAGATAGTAAGCCCTCAGGGGCAGGGCCCTCCTTACCATCTTGCCTTGATTTGTATTGTGATTGTAATGTCTTCCTTATATTGTAAAGCGCTGCGCAAACTGTTGGCGACATATAAATCCTGTATAGTAATAATAATAATAATAGATGAACTCTTATACATCTCGAATGCCTAACTTTTATTCATATTCACTAATTCCTATGGTAATGGAGGTAGCGTCCTGAAAAGTAGTTACAGCAATGTAGAAGAAAGTACCATTTAGTTAGACACCAAACATGACTATATTACAAGGCCCAAAAGGCTATTTAGACACATTAGACCTCCTAGAAGAAATATACATCACAAACATACAACAGATGGCTACAGTGCTGGACTGCAGAGCCCTTGTGTTAAAAAAACATTTGCTTAGCATGGCCTTCGAGCTACAGTATCTCTTAGGACTGGCTCTTCACAATATCATCAAGGATGCTGCTGGTGGCAGGAGCACCCATCTTTCTCAGTGGAAGAAGCCCAAGGAGCCGACTGCGAGACAGTCTGAGCCGGTGGCCCTATCGTGCAATGAGCCCTTTGAAATTTTGCATAGGGACAAGGTGGTGTTTGAGGCCCAAAACTTCACCTCGCCAAAAATAGTTTCTGCCCTCCACCCTAATCAGGGCACTTTTTCTTCTGTCCCTATATAAGCTCCAAAAGGAAATTCCCTCCATTGTCTGGATGTGGTTTGGACTGTGTGAGCCTATCACTCACTGCTGCGGTTTTATCATCATGGATGGACACCAAAAGGGTGCACTGACTTCTGTTCCACCATCTCTAGGTGGCTCAGACAGACCATCAATCAAGTGTATGGTCTCAAGGATTGGGCTCTACCCTTTCCTGTCACAGTGCACTGTACTAGATCTATGAGCACTTCTTCGGCTATTCAGCCATCAAGCCAACTGCTTCCCAGATTTGCAAGGCCACCACCTGGTCTTCTGTTTCAGGCTCTACTAGGTGGACATTTTAGCCCCCTCAGATGCCAGCTTCTGATGTAAGGTCCTTCAAATCACTCACGCAGCAGGGCGGATCCAGACATCGATGTCAGGATTCGCTCCGGCTGCGGCGTCTCAGTATTTTTGTACTCATGGTAAAAATCTTTTCTTGGAGTCCATTGAGGGACACAGGTCCCGCTGCTCTGTGTTTTTGATCATGCTCTTGGTACTGCTTTGCTAGAAAACTGAGGCATGCCGGTAGTAGGAGCCGTTATCCTGAGTTAAACAGAGAAGGGAAGGGAGAAGCGCTGCAAGCCGAGTAGGGAACAGGGTGATTTTTTGCTGAACCTTGTAAGGGGGGGAGAGGGGGGGCTGGAAAACTGGGACCTAATATAAGTTCCCAAACTTCCGTGGTTAGTCCAATTAGTTCGAGTGTGGTCCCAAAAAATAAAAAACATCAAATTGTGGAGGTAAATGAAATGGCGTGTACAAAAAAGAGAAAAAACAGAAAAAATCTAGGGACTTACCCTTAGGTAAAAAATATTACGTGGTGATCGACGGAGGGTGGAGTTTGATGATGCTGGTGTCGCACGGGTTCCAGTTTGCCAGGGGTGATGTCTGTTCTCTAAAATCTTGTAAACGGAAGTTGGCGAGGAGGTGTAGGTGAGGTATTCTTTGCTTTGCTTGCCTAGGGTGAGGGGTGTTTGCGGGATCAGTAGCGAGGGCTAGAGGTGGATGGTTGCGGTGTCTGCAGTGTCTTGACTGTGACCTTGCGTTGGAGGGATGTCTATTTTCCCATTGATATCAATATAACCACTTCATCGGTGATGAGACGCTGTGGCTGGGTGGTTGCTGACAGGGAGGGGGACACAGGTGGCTCGTGTTTCCACAATCCTGAGGCTGAAAGACCTGGTGCTGTGGTGGTGGGCAGTGGCTAAGCACTTGAGGTGGGGTGCCCCGGTTCGTATCCAGAACAGATGGAACTCACGGGCATCAAACTGGCTGAGGGGGAAGGGGGGGGGAAAGCCGGCGGCTGTTGATAATGCGATGCTGCGGCCGTGGTTAGGGTGCCAGCGTGATGGTAATAGGCTGACCTGGAACAATCAATGTGTGTCCAGTGCTGGCAGAACTAAAAGGCATGAGGCTAGCGGAGGCTGGGTCTGTGTGGAACGAGGAAAAACAAGGCTACGCGTTTCGAAGTAACTCACTTCTTTTTCAAGCCAGGGAGGGGGAAGAGATGGCGGGGAAACTTTTTAAAGGGAAGAGAGGGGAGGGTTCAATACTGGGTGTGAAAAAACAGCCTATAGAGAGGCAGGGGGCGGGCGTGTGGGCGAACCAATGACCCTGGTGTGTTTGATGAAGGGGAGTGTAACGTATTTAGTTGGGAAGATGCCGAACAGATGCTCAAGAGTGCAAGCAAATGCTCGTGGGAGAAAGATGTGAAGTATTTTGGTTAAGGGAGATGCAAAGTTGACGCTATGTGTGAAAGCACATAAAGTAGGTGGGCAATATTGTATAAAAGGATATTTTACTCAAATGACCGTGTTGACTTCCAATTCTTCGTTTAGACCATGGGGGGATAATGTATTAAGCTTATAAATCCAGTATGTTTCCTGTCTGCAGAGCGGGTGGAATCTTTCAGGTGGGGACAGGTTATTAGGGATCTGTTCTATAATGAAGACCTGAAGTTTTGTGATATTTTTATTATGTTTGTGGAGGAAATGTCTCGGGACACTGTGATCAATGTCTCCCTTCTCTATGAACCTTCTATGTTCTCCAATCCGTTTGCGAAGCGGGCGTATTGTGCGTCCTATGTAAAGGAGATTGCAGGGGCATCTCAGTCCATATATCACGTGGTCGTGCCCACATGTGGTGAATTGGTTGATGGGGTAAATGTGGTCTGTGCTATCCTTGAAAG